GGGGGCGGCCGGGAGGGCGCTTTGCCCGTGGCGGGGTTTGCTGTCCCGTGTTTGGGGTGCGGCGGCGCCTCTTTAGAGAGCTCCCGGTAGTAACGGCCGCTCGCCAGGCGGTCGGGTCGCAGTGCGTCGGAGGGCCCGGGGGGCGGTCAGCGTGAGGCTTCTCCCTGCGCTCCCGCAAGCGCAGCGAGGCCGGGGGGGGACAGCACGCGGAGTGCTCGGTCTAATAATACAGCTCACTGCCTTTCATCTGTGGGATCAAATTCCGTGTTTGATTATGTCATACGCGAAGGTACCGTACTGGAAGCCTTTGCATGTCAAAATTGAGTTCTGCTGAGCCCTGCCCTTTTGGGGGGCCGGTAAACTTTGCTTAAGGCAACTTGTGTTGAGTATTTTTTGGAAGTAAAACCTGTTTCTTAGCTGTTGGTTGTTAGCTCCATGTTTAGCTGTACAATTCTTTTTTTAAATTTGGATGTCAGATTGGATGGACAATTCTTTGTTGGGCTGAGTTCTCCGGGTGGAACCCAGCCTTGCTGGGCTCTCGGATTACAGAGGGAGGCTGCAGGGCTGGTAGTTGAAGAAAACGGCTTAGAAAGACCGATGCATTTCCACCCAAAGTGACTGACCCAAATGTGGATGTTGAAATGCTGTTTTATTGCAGCTTTTCAAACCGAAATTGTTTCTATAATGCGTATTTTCATAGTGTTATCTGTTTGTTGGAATACTGTAAAATTAGCTGCTTTTCAATTTTCTAGGCTTCTGGAGTGTGTTAAAATTCTGGTGACATGCTATGGCTGAACTACAGCTTGTGTGGTTCCTTAACTACAGTGGGACATGGTGATGTCTTAAAATAAGCTTGGAAGGGAGGGAATGTTGAGGAAATCTAGGAAGAACATAGTTGGAGCATGAGGTTTATATTCTTATAACATTGTGTTGGGATGGAGAAGCCAAGCAGCTGATACTGAGAAGGATTTCTAGAATGAGATTGACTTGTGTATAGGTAATATTCGTGTTTCAAGAAGAGAATTGGCCTTGACCCTTGAGTAATGGGTATAATGAATCTCTGTAGCAGGCCCTAAAAGTTTATTTTCTCTCTCTAGTCTCACCGCAAGTTCTCAGCTCCGAGGCATGGGTCTCTGGGCTTCCTGCCCCGCAAGCGCAGTAGCAGGCACAGGGGCAAGGTGAAGAGCTTTCCCAAAGATGATCCCAGCAAGCCTGTCCATCTCACTGCTTTCTTGGGGTACAAAGCTGGCATGACCCACATTGTCCGTGAAGTTGACAGACCCGGATCCAGTATGTATTAATGTTCCTGTTAATGAAGGAGGTGATTTTATCTTTATGAATGGCAGAAGATGACTGACTTGTTAGTAGCTTTGGATTTTAGTCCTGGCTTGTCTTTACCCTGTTCAGAGTCCTTGCTTGAGTGGATGTGGTATAAAGCACTCAGACTTCTCCGGCTTCAATGCGAGTGATGTCCCAGCAGTAAGACTTAGTGTCTAGCAGTGTCTGTCCTGTTAATGGTCATCTTCCTGAGAATCCCAGTGACCTGATGGCTTGGTTTAGCTGTACTGTAGCTGGCTGCTTAGGATGTGACCTCTCAATGGGTGAACATAAGTAAATTGCCTTTGGTGGGTTTTTTGCTGATTGTCCAATCCTGAATGTGGTTCTGTTACTTGATATTCATCTGTTTTGCCTATTGGGCTTTGCTGTGCTTCCTACTGAGCCAGCCGCAAATTTTTGCAAGGTCTTAAATTGTAACTTCAGGGTTGGTCACTCTACCATGCATCATTTTTGCCTTTGTGAAAAGAATTAGTTATTTAACCTTTCATGTGTAAGAACATATGATGTTTAATAGTTGTTGGTGGTGTTAATTGTTGTGCTGTATTTCTGCCTTCATCCAGAGGTGAACAAGAAGGAGGTGGTTGAGGCAGTCACTATAGTAGAGACTCCTCCCATGGTCATTGTGGGCATTGTGGGATATGTGCAGACTCCTCGTGGTCTCCGTAGCTTCAAGACCATCTTTGCTGAGCACATCAGTGATGAGTGTAAGCGTCGCTTCTACAAGAACTGGTAAGAGAGCAGGGCTTTTACTTGTCTTAATCTCATGCAATGGTTCATTTTTTGTGCTGGGTGACAGATTAAGCTAGTGCAGCTTTTAAAGAGACTTTTTTGCATTTGGGCTTGATGAACTGGCCTAATAATGGGATATGCTGTAGGAATGGCTCTAGAAGGGTGACAGCATAACGTTAGTGCAGTTCTTGGTGTGGGGGTGACAGTGTTGAGTTTTGCCTGAGACGTCCGTAACAGGCTACACATGATGATACTTCGACGGGCGGACATAAGGAAATCGCCTCTGGTGCTTCTTGTTGAGTGTCGGAGTCCTGACTGTAGCCCTGTTTTCCTAGGAAAGGGGAAGACAAATATGTTAACTTCTGATTACTGTTCCAGGCCCTGTTGTGATTCAAAGTATGCACATTTGCCCAAGTGAGGCTCCAGTGTGTCTAGAGCTTACAGCCTGTTTATGAACTTTACAGGCTGAAAAGATGTCAGAGCAATAATAAGGGTGTCACAGTAATGACCTTGCTGTCAGGCATAGCTTGGGCTTACAAGGAGGAAAATTAAGTATTCCAAAGCAGATAGCAGGCATTTGACAATTGCTTTAAAGATCTGTTTTTTCTGTTACTGTTTGACATTTCTCTACAGTCTTTTATCTTCTATCTATGAATATTAATGTGCTTTGGAATTCATGGCAGCTCCGCTCAGCTCTGGCATCTTTGTCACTGTCTGATGAGCTCCAGGCTCCGCTTGCCAGTGGAGGAGAGTCCTTAGAAGCTGGCAATGAGCTGAAACCAGCTGAGGTGGTAGCTCCTT